TAGGTTCAATGGTTCTTGGGTGTCACTGGCATAATTGCCCAGTATGTAGCATGATAACTCTAATCCTTGGAATATCCAACAGTTTAATATTGTGAACTCATATGTACTGATCAGCCATGCCCATAGTTCATGGCCTTTAAAATGTGGGATGTCAAACTAATTTCAAACAATATGCCATTTTAACTGGCCATAAGGTAACAATATAACATGTTGGCCCACGTTGAAAAATAATTTAGCTTAACAGTGCCTTCAGAAGGATATTGCTGGGTGACTCTACATACATACAGTCCATTGATCTAACAGTGCAGTTCTAGCCAGTTCTAAGTTTTCAGTGAATTATTTTGTGAAAGTTAACTCAGTTGTACTCAGTGGGATGTACACTGAACTGCAAAGCTAATTTTGGACAACGTTGGGTATATGTCACATGTATCTTCTCATTATTAAATTACTGTTATCTAATTGCAGTATCCAAAATTAATTATATACAAATAATGAAATAAATGCTGTTAAAATACTTCTTAGAAATTATCACAGTAATAATAGAAAATATTCCTAATTGCTTCCCAATTTTTCTTTAAAGGGCTTCTTAAAATACTTTTTGATTAATTTCAGTTTCTGTATAATTATCCTTCAATGAATTCATGATATGTATACATGGATATATACATTTAGCTTTAGCTAGCTATGTCAAGAAGTAAATTAGGAAAATGATAGCAGATCTGCCAATACTGATATATAATAATTAGCAATTAGTAAAAGGCATAGTAGATCATATAATATATTCACCTTTCTGTCTAAAGAAAAAAAGAAATCTAGGATTTTTTTAGAACAAAAAAAAATACAGTAGCACATATTTCTGGGAAATGTGTTTGTCTCTTAAACAAGATATAAATGTGTTCGTGTTGTATCAAAAACTTTATTTATGAAGCAGAAACCCTCAGGAAATCATATCCCCTATATTTTCATCCTAGTCCATGGATATTCCCTCCCTCAATTAAAGTGCTGAAAATTACACTGAATCTTGGGGTGAAAGGTCAACGTTTCTAACCCTATTTGTATCATCTGTGGTAATAATCAACTTGAGCTCATCATTCACTCTTAAGTGACCTACATGTTAGGACACTTCATATCCTGATACATCTCATCCTCACCTTTAGGTCAGGTAAAATCAGAAGATATGTGCAGGATGATTAACTTTGACACTACTTCACTGACCCAATAAGAAATGCACTCAGAGTATATTTGTGTGTGTGTGTGTGTGTGTAGATTTATTTTTTTATTTATGCTATTATAGAGAAAGAAATAATATGTGGGTGAAAGAATCGTTTAAAGCTATAAATTGTGTATTGTGAGACGTTAATCTTACTTGGATTAGAAGTTCTTCTTTTTCTCTGAAATTGGAAGGCAGCCACTATTATGTAGAAATGGAGCAACTAGTATGTCACTTTAGACAACCAGAAGCAGAATTGTCTGCTGCAGATGTATGGCACGTGGATCTTGTGGACTTTGTCAGCATGGACACTCCTTGAATTTCCTGTCTGTACAGTCACAACAGGTTTATCTATTCAGACATGAGTTGGCTGAAATAATATAAATATTTATTATTGGAATATTTTGTAATGAAAAAAGTAAATGTTGGTAAAATTTAATGGCACTGGGGAAAGTCATGAGAGAAGCCAAAACCAGTTACATGGAAAAAATGATATGAGCCTCAAGCTGAGTATTACAATACACCAAGGAATCTAAAGCTAGTTTGTAACAAACTCCAAAGGGATGCTTGTCTTAGTTCCTTATAACTTTTAATTTTAAAATATTCCTATTTCTTCTTATCATGTTCTAAATTACAATGCATCACTAATTTTTATTCGGTTAGTGTTTTGTGAATATTGCTTTGATTATAACACAGCACATATGCACGGTATTATATAAAACATATTTGTCCTGACCTAATTTTCTTTAATGTGATAGGAACAAAAAAAAGATATAACTGAGGAAAAGTATAGAAAAAGCCACTACCTCATTGAAATGCATACCTCAGAATAAAGTTCAGTGGCAGGTCTAATTTTTTTCAACTGATCATTGCCTTTTAAAGAGCTATTGTATGCTTGATTTGGAGAATTATTGGTCGATTTTTTTAAAAAATATATCTAGTTTAAGTATTGGTTGAATATCTATTTATTCATCAATATCCACTTTTAGATGTATGATCAATTTATTTTTATAACGTTGTGGTTTCTTTGAAACAAGTGCAACCTTTTAATGGTTTCAGGTAAAATAGTCAAAATGTAGAAAATTAGGAAAAAACTCTGAATAGGTTGAAAGTGCAAGCTAACTCTCCTCTGGACATACACACTTCATAAAGAGCTCCAGGATCTTGCCATATCGATGTTCATTAATCAATGAACATCTCACATGGGGATAGATAAGGCTTCAATCCTATGTATATTTGAACCAGACTGAAATTCACTGCACCACATCCAAGGCAAATTTGAAAGACTTGTCCAAAATCTTACATAAAGTTGTTGTTGTTGTTCCTCCTCCTCTTTCTCCTCCTCCTCTTTTTGGATGGATTTTAACGATAAAAAAAGGAGGCTTCCCAAGGCAAAATGCTTTTGTTTCCACCCAAATACCACTCCCCAACCTAAAAAAGAAGCCAAAATTGCATCACCAAAATTTTTACTGCTTTCAGTTTTCATGCTGAAATTCAGCAGTGTGTTCTAAGGATGTTAGAGGGGCACAAATAGGATGTTTCCACAATTTATCTGTATATGAAGATTACTCTCACCTTATAGGAAAGCCAAATATGAGGAGTTGTCTATGTCAAGACTATGTGAAACCTTGGGACAAGATCCACCTCTCCTCCGTGTGTTCATTATATCTAAATACAGATTATTAAGAGGGCTAACAGGACTCATATTTTCAGTTCATGCTACATTTAACTCTTGCTCATTGATTAATTGCATAACTACTTTCAGCTTTTGGAGGACATCTGGGCAAGAAATAACCAAAATGTCCCTCCAACCAACAAAGGGGTACTAGTAGTTAGAATCAAAAACGTAAACCATATCCAGGTCCTCTGCCAGTTGACTTGCAAAACAAGCCCATATACCTACCAACTTCTAATTTCCATCTCAGCTGTAACTTTGCTGCTTTGTTTGAAGGCTTTGTCTACCTTCCATGGATCACAGTGTTCCCCTACCAGCTAAGAACCTTGTCTATCACTTACACGTATTGCTCCTAATGAAGCTGCACATGCTAAGGAAAATGCTTGCCTAGGCTACAAGTCAAGTTCAACTACTGATAAGATCCTGGAGCAGCAGGTGACAATGACCATCTTAGCAGGCTTTATAGCCTTTCCTATAGGTCTGAAGAACAATTCCAGCAAAATGTTTTTCCTTCCCAGAGAAATAGCTCTGGGGCAGGACATATGAAAAATGTTACAATAAAATGAAAGTGCGTATTTCACTTTCTAGCCTAATGTTCAGTTTGGCCAGTTTGGTATCTTTGTGAAACTTACATATAAGTATAAAGACACAAAATGCTTCTGAGTATGACATTTCCATTTAGCTCTCCAGGCATTAACACAGTTACCTTCCTTGAATGTACTTATGCTACATTTTTTACTGTAATGAATTCCATAATTACGTGTTGTCCCCTTGAAGAAATGAAACACTCTGTTATTTATGCATTCTTTACCCTTTGGTGTCTTAATATTCTGTTCACTTGTTTTGTATGGTTTACTAGAGAGTAGCATCTTATGGATCTTTCTGTACTTTTTTTTTTTTTTGGTCTACCTAAGAGACCAAAACAACAAACAAGGAGGTTGAGCAAGAGAGGCATCTCAGTAGGAGTCACAAACCTATTGGCTGCTTCATGCTCAGGAAAAGGGTTTGCTGGCAAATTATAAAAGTGGGCAATATAGCTGGCATGAACTTAACTAGAAAAATAGCCAAAGAAACAATATATTTATTATCTAAACAGTCTTTTGCTTACACATATACATGCTGTTATAGAGGATGGTCTGATATTACAGTGCAGAATTTTTAAGTTCTACCTTGAGGCAAATCTCATACTTACAAGCAAAAATGAAAGTGCGAAATGCTTTTTAATGTATATTTAACAACACATAGTCTGGTGATTACTGATGTGTATTCTCTCTGGACTTTTCCCTTGCTATCAAAAGGTAATATTAAAACACATTTTTACACATTTATGGTATCTGCAATGATCAGATGTTTACTTTTAAAAATACTTGCTACTTTTATTTATTAACAATGGCAAAAAGTCATCATATTTTCTCTCTAACTAAATTCAGATTATACAGGAACAGCATTTCCATGAATCAAAACAATGGAATTTGCAAGTTTTTTTTTTAATTTGGTTAATATAAAATTAAATTTTAAATCTTCCTTGGGAAGAGGAAAAAATATACTAAAGTTTTTCTTAATATTTTATGTTGCCTTTTTAAATTTCCATCTCAGTTATAATGTCTAGCTATGTATTATATTTATTAATTTGTTTTTTAAAAAACCCTTCAGAATTGCATACCAGTGTGTATTATCCAAGAAACATATTGTATGCTACTAAATGTATATTTCAAATATTTCCTGTAGTGACACTGTTTAACAATGATTGAAAGTGCAGTCTTTGGCATTTTTGGTGCAATGCACAGTGTAAGTTCACCTCTCATTCTAATGAATGTTAATTGTATGGTTTATAGACCTTTATTATTTAAAAAAGATGTAGCATTTAGTTGACAAAAACCAGTGGTTTACACTAGTATTTGTTCTGACATGATTAAACCATGCTTCTTTGACTCCAATTATGTTTGCATGGTAGTAAAGTTTGCTTTCAACAAAGTGTTTGCATGTAGTATTCAGAGCTTAGTGTTTGATGAGCAGTCAGCACAGCACTTTCAATCGAAATCGATAATTATGCAGAATCAATAAGGTTTTCTTCTTTTGTGTTTGTCTTTGTTGTTTCTTTGATATGGCCTCTAGGATGCTGCAGGCAAAGTGCTGGACCGCTGGGCCATCATGTCCAGGGAAGAAGAGATTATTACCCTTCAGCAGTTTTTGAGGTTTGGAGAAACCAAATCCATTGTGGAGCTGATGGCAATTCAAGAAAAAGAAGGGCAGGCAGTTGCTGTTCCATCTTCAAAGACAGACTCAGACATACGAACTTTTATTGAAAGCAATAATCGAACCAGGAGCCCAAGTCTCCTTGCTCACTTGGAGAACAGCAACCCTTCCAGCATTCATCATTTTGAAAACATCCCAAACAGCCTAGCATTCCTGCTACCATTTCAATACATAAATCCAGTCTCTGCTCCTCTACTGGGCTTGCCTCCGAATGGGCTCCTGCTGGAACAGCCAACGCTGAGACTGCGTGAGCCAAGTCTTTCAACTCAGAATGAATATAATGAAAGCAGTGAATCTGAAGTTTCCCCAGCACCTTTCAAGAATGAGCAGACCTCCAGCAGGAATGCTTTGACCAGCATCACAAATGTAGAGCCCAAAACTGAGCCAACTTCAGTTTCCCCTGTTCAGACTTCTACCCCAGTCAATGATTTATCCAAACCTGAACATACAAAAAGTTCTTTCAGAATTCACAGAATGAGAAGGATGGGATCAGCATCACGGAAAGGGAGAGTATTTTGCAATGCATGTGGGAAAACCTTTTATGACAAAGGGACCCTAAAAATCCACTACAATGCAGTCCATCTTAAGATCAAACATCGATGTACTATTGAAGGTTGCAACATGGTCTTCAGTTCACTTAGAAGTCGCAACCGCCACAGTGCTAACCCCAATCCCCGACTTCATATGCCCATGTTAAGAAACAATCGAGACAAGGATCTCATCCGTGCTACATCTGGTGCTGCTACTCCTGTTATAGCAAGTACAAAGTCCAATCTAACATTAACGAGTCCAGGACGACCTCCAATGGGTTTTACCACTCCCCCATTAGACCCTGTGTTACAAAATCCTCTTCCTAGCCACCTCGTATTTCCAGCTTTAAAGACTGTACAGCCAGTTCCTCCTTTTTACAGAAGTTTACTTACACCTGGGGAGATGGTGAGTCCTCCAACATCATTACCAACAAGTCCATTAATGCCAGCAACTGGTACAATAGAACAGTCTTCTGTCCCTTCAGAATCAACACTACCCACAGGGATGATGCCCAGCCAAGAAACAAATGCTGACCTTGCCCCTAAGAAAAAGCCACGAAAGTCAAGCATGCCTGTAAAAATAGAGAAGGAAATAATTGATACTGCTGATGAGTTTGATTATGAAGATGAGGAAGTTAATGATAACAGAAGTGTAGCTAATGATGGTGGTCATGACAATCATTGCCATTCTCAGGAGGAGATGAGCCCTGGGTTGTCTGTGAAGGACTTCTCAAAAAATGGGCAAAACAGATGCATTTCAAGGACGGAGCTAAGAAGGACAGATAGTATGACATCAGAAGACCAAGAGCATGAAAGAGACTATGAAAATGAGTCTGAATCCTCAGAGCCAAAACTCTGTGAGGAATCAATGGAAGGGGATGAACACACGATACATGAAAGAAGTAACAAGTCTATGATAAACCATGAGAGACCGGATGAAAACCACAATGATGCTTCCCACCACAGTGAAGTTAAAGTCAAGGAAGAGTTTACAGACCCTACATATGAGATGTTTTACATGAGCCAATACGGACTTTATAACGGAAGCAGTGCTAGCATGGCTGCTCTCCATGAAAGCTTTGCTTCATCATTCAATTATAACAGCCCCCAGAAATTCTCTCCAGAAGGTGATTTGTGCTCAAGTCCAGATCCCAAGATCTGTTATGTGTGCAAGAAGAGTTTCAAGAGTTCCTACAGCGTGAAACTCCATTATAGGAACGTTCACTTAAAAGAGATGCATGTCTGCACGGTGGCTGGCTGCAATGCTGCTTTCCCCTCCCGAAGAAGCAGAGACAGGTCAGTAAATACTGAATTTATTAACTGATTTTCTGTTTTTTTCTTAAGCCGCCTAAGAAAGCCAAGGATAGGCTTTATACCAAATATATTTAAATGATATGGCATATTTCTTTAATATAAGATTGGGTAAAAAAACTGGTGGTCTCTAGATATTTTGACTACAACTCTCATAAGTCCCAATCAGCATATCAGTGGACAATGATAATGGGAGTTGTTATACAAAAATAACTAAAAGATACTATGTTGCCTTTCCTTAATCCAAGAAGTCTTTCATTAGCTTTGTTTCTTGCTTTTCTCGATATTTTAGATCTGTATGCAAACACTGAGCCATCACATTATGTAATATAATGAATGCCTTGGAAATAGAAGTGCAAATATAATAGGACAGTAGGTCTTCACTGCATTTCTGTGTATTTTAATTTACTGTTATTTCCATTTGTAAACAAAGCTCCCATTTCTCTGGTTGATTATCTCTTACATTAGCTGTTCCATACAGACCATTCATGCATAGGAGAATGTAAATATGTGGGATAAATGGATAGAAGGTAAACAGGCAGACATACATGCATACATACATACATATGGCCTGTGTACACAGATACTGTCACTACTGTTAAATTCAATTTCTTCTTTATTCAAGTATTTAAAAGTTCCTATTTCAATTTTTGAAAAGTGGCATGAAAACTCTTATATAAGCCAAAACAGGTGGTGACCATTGATGATCGTTTTTACCATTTCATGAGGGCACCTGTTAAGCATCCTGTTAGTAATCAGCATGCATGATAATGATAATGATGATGAAATGCAGCCTTGTAGATTTGGACAAACCCCATTAAATGAATGAAAGAGGCAATTTTATGTAGATTCTTTTATTCATATGAGTGTGTTTTGTACTCTGCATGTTATATAAATCCCAATTCATTCAGCTGAGCACTACACACACAAATAAAGAGGAGCTCAGACATATTTTTAAAATTAATAAAGACCTTTTCTTCTGCTGGACATTTAGATGATATCACACAACAGTTATGTTACATCAAGTCTGAAATAGTTTAGTTTAAACAGAAGCAGCTGGCTCTAAATAGTTTGGTTCCTTTTTTATTCCAAAAAAGTAAGGTAAATGGAATTTGCCAAAGTGGGTCAGTGGCAGGCTAACACAGCTTTTCCAAACTTATGGATTTAAACACGCATAAACTTAAACATGGAACAAATATGCAACACAAATTCATGCATACATATAAACACAGAAATTTTTAAAAAAAGAAAGAAAACTAATGCAGCTCAGAGAATGTTAACCAATAGTAGAGCGGGATCAGTTGGTGTCCACACAATACAGGCATTCCAAAGAAGAAAAACAACAACTGCTTTATAATCTGTTGAACTGCAATCAATTCCTATGTCTTGCTAAGTGAAATTGTTACAAATTATTTAGTGACAACTGGTAAAAATGCGTTTCTGATCTTCTCTTACCAAGTTTCAGCTGCAATACTTAGAGTTTCTTTTTCATACATACATTATGCTTTTCAGTGAACTCCCATACTTGTTACAATTTAATCCTAGTTTCTTTTAACTAGCTTTGGTTAGTCTGCATACCGTTCTACCTTGTATGGTTAGAGGAGGAGAAGGGAGGGAAATAAACTGGCAGAGTTGGAGAAGCAAAAAAGTGTGGCCTGCCAGCACCCTGTTTGCAGCTACCCCCCCCGCCTTCAACAATGGATGAACCCCCAAAAATTTCTCCTTTATTTCATTGGGCAGTTATTTGCAAGGTGCCCTTGACATACATCACGAAACATGGTAGAACTCTTACAGTGCAGAAATTGGATGTCCCTCATTTAGGTGATTAACTGAACTGTAGCAAACTACATTTACTTCTCTTTAATGTTTAAAAGTAATAGCAATATATTAAAAATGGCCAGGACCCAAGGAACTATGAAACTGGGTCCTGAGTAGACTCTCCCAATGGGGAAATAGCCTGCTGGGGGGGTTTTTGGCAGGGGGAGGTGTGTGTGTGTTTTAAATGGACAGGAGTTTGGAAAGAACTGTACAATAAACATGAAAAATAAGTGATCTTTTAAAAGTGAAACCTTTCAGTATATTAGGTTCATTGTGTGAGCTAAAGTCACTCTTTAGATCCTGATCTGTGTTCACTTGGAAGTAAATTCCAATGGATTCAGTGAGATGCACTTGTATACAAGCATAGTTAACACTGCAAAGTTAAAAGAATTCGCTTCATCTAAATAGTAGTTTGGCTTAGTTTAGTTGCAAATCCTGCTGTCCTGTAATTTGTTTTCTGAAGATTTGTTAAAGGTTCATGTTAGGAACTTGCATTTCAGCACTACATTCTCAGTCAAATACACTTTTTTCTTTCATATCAGAAAATCAGTTGACAAGGACTATGATGTCATGTTTGTTGTAAAACATTACAAAGGCGAATCTACCTAGGAGAAAATTGTGGTAAATTTCTTCTATTAAAAATGAATTTAGATGTTATAGTTAATGGGCAGCAATATTTGTTGCACGTGACTGTGTATCATAATGAAATTCCTTTTCTGATCATTTTTTAAAAGCTATTCTCTGAAAATATAGAACAGTCAGAAAATTAACTACCCCAAGCTTTGAATTAAATTGTTCATAACAGATCACAGCGACATATTTGAACTTCAGTGGATCCTTAACTATAATTTATATATAGATGTTCTACATTCTAGAGTAAAACCTAGGTATCAATTATCATGTTCTAGAATATAGATTTTTTTCTCTCTCAGTCACAGCACATAGACAAAAGCAGTTGGCTTCCATTATAACAGATGCTCTGGATTTCTAAAATAACAGTAAGTGACCTTCAGAAATGCAAACTATGCTGTGCACCAAGAAGTCAAAAATATACTTATTTTTTTCAGAATATAAAAATTGGGAAATATAAATTTCAAAAATCCAGTAGGTTTAACAAAAACACTGTTAGCTTTTGCATACATTTAAGAATAAAACATAGGAACACTTATTTTTGAATGTATTATTTCACAGTCTGATGCTAATTGGAAGGTTAACTGGAACCGAGAACAGAATATGATGAAGAAAGGCTACTTTGGAATTAAGTGATGATCTTGGACTTGGTTACAACATAATGAATGTTGAAAATTCTAACCAACCAATATATAAATACATTTGAGATAAAGAATTAATGTTTCTTTATTAATTATTCAGATCAACATTAAGCTTGTTATTATTTCTAAATGATAAGATAGGCATTTGAGGTATTATTTAGCTTAATGAACTTTTCTATGAGGTAAGGTTTTTTTTCTTGACTCTCTGAGAGATTATTTCTTAAAGGAAATTTTGTAAAAGAATCTTACAACCTGTCTAGTCCTTTAGAAAGCAAAGGAAGCCTTGAACATACAATGTCTTTCTTACTTCATTGCCAAATAAATAGAGGAATAATAAGGGAATGAAGGGAATGACCTTCAATCACTTTAATGGGCATCAGAACCCAGTTGTAGCCATTCTAGCAGTAACTGTGGTAGCAGAACTGTGAAACTTCTAATGTAATGTGTACATGAAGAATGTCACATGTTACCATTAAATCTAAGACACAATTTGAGCACTTCTGTAGTAGTAATTGCATTTTTTCAATGGCTCAAATATATGACTATATTTATGAAAATGAAATTTAATTCATCTCTTTCAACAAATATAGTCTTATTAGAAGAAAGAGGGGAGTTATCTAAAGAATAAGCTTGTGGCCATGCAGGGTTATTCTATAAATAATATGCTTTAAAAATAAGAAAAAAGAGACTTAAATGTTAAACACGGATTAATATTTTTTACAATAACATCTGATTCAAGGCATTATGGCCTCTCATATTCAACATGCTTTAGCAGCTGACATGAAAAAAAAGAGAGAGGTACTGAATTGGTCAAGATGTAAGCTCAGCATAATCTGGTTACAGCCTTGCTATCTTCTGCCTGTGGGCCTAAGCATTCAGAATGGCATTCTGATCATTGTCTTTGATGCTAGGCCTTCTTGTTTACCACTTGTCATGTGGATAACATGATTTTCATTTATGACACGAAGGGCTTCTTAATAAAAACATAGGGTCTTACTTAAAATGGCGTCTTCCTAGAAAATCTTGATACTCTCATCTTAGGAGAAGCCTTGGACAAGTAATGGCTAGGCAATATAGTTTATCGGTGGCCTATTTGAGATTAGGATGGCCATTGGCTTTGCCACTGAATACAGCTAGATGCCCACAGGGGGCCCATCAGATGTTTGAAAGTTGAAGAAACTTACTGCTTTCATTTTTTCACTCTTAAACATGCTAATAAGTTAATATCCATTTTCCATTGCTATCAGCAATTGGCAGTGTAAATCTTCCTTGTTACTCGGCTCTAGGTCATGGCTCTTCTGCACAGGCAGACCTGTTACTTCACTTTTTCATTTCCTAGATTCGTGTAAAATAAATGCCTCTGCAGTACCACTGTTAACTGCTTCAAGTTACAAAGGAAGGAACTTCATGCATTGCCTCTCTCTGAGTAAAGGATGCTAATTGTTAACATTTCTCTTTAAATTTTCACAGAACAAAAAGCATGTGTGTTTGTCTGCAAGGTGGGAAAGGTGATTCAGCCCCCTGAATAAATTTAAAAACAAAATAATATTTGCTCAGGGTGACTTATAAATAAATATGAGGCAACTCTTGGTGCCAAGTGTGATTCTGCCATTAGGTTGCTAGTTAAATCAGTCCAGATTTAAACTTGTAAACTCCTTGATTGGTATGGAGAAAGACATCTGGATTAGGTTTATTAAAATCTGCTGATGTTTCCAGAACTAAATTTGTGTGGAGATAGGCCTCTGGGTAGTTAGATCAAGAAAGCGGAAGCATCGTACTTGCTCATCTAGTTACCTGACTTCCAGCCCTGTACAGGTGTGCTTGAATAAATTAACATTAAATACGTCCGATGAGCCACTGCATACATTATCAACAAAGGTGAAGATGTGAACAAAT